GAGAGTCTGGACTGATTAAAAAACATTCTCATTTACGTTTGTTTCGGCTTTTGTTCCTGGACGGAGGGGGGGCGGTCAGAACAGAGTTTTATACCACATACTATTCGCAGAAAATTTTGGACCAATTTCCCATCTGATTGCTGCTTGGTAAAAAATTTTGTTTCCCCCCTATCTTTTCCCATTGATCTACTGGGATTATTTCTTTGAAATGCTGCATCCATTTCATCATACTTTTTTTTGTTATTTCTTTGGTTCCTATTTCATATTTAAATAACAATTTGTAAATATATCCTAATAAGTGATCTTGATTCTGTAGAACTCTTTCAAATTCTGCCATCTTTCTCAGAGCACTCAATAATAATGAAGTGGTTTATTGCCTATATTAAGAAATAAGTATCATATGTCTTTTGCTACCCCCCTGGCACCAGTTACAACTATATCATTTACTGCCCTCAGGCAGCATTTTCAGCTTTAGAGATGCTAAACTATTAAAAATAATCGCCAATCTTATGAAATTACAAAAGTCAAAATTAGTATTATAAAAATACTTGTTGATGTATTTTTCTGATAGCAAATATTAACAACTGAATGGAATAAAGATTTGCAGTTTCCGTTTTTATCTAAACAGGGGGAAGAATTAACATTATTAAAAATTTAAATAGATCTTGGACCACGTCTTATTCAACAACAAATAATATTCATGATTTGTGGCACCCTCTTCAATGAGTAAATTGTCACATTGTTGAAGCTGCAACAAGAATATTTTTTTCCTAAAATTGACACTACAACATTCTCTACACCTCTCCAATTACTAAGAAACTTGCTCTTCAAACTTAGAAAGATATTTCATTCAAACTGTTGTGTATAATTTTTGTATACACACCATACATTCATATACATTCAATACGTATGGTATTATATGTAAACAGCTGTTACTTTTTTGTTTCTATTTTCATTTTTTACTGTTTAATTAATTACTTAAGGGACAAATAAAAAAAAGTAACAAACACAGAATAAAATGGTTTCTCAATCATTTGGCCAAGATCAAATGTAAGTATGAAAGCAAACTGTTCAATATGAGTTTGAGGATAACCACCACAAATTCCTATGTGCAGTACTAGATTTTTCTTTTCTTTTTTCTTTTCCTTTTTACATTATTGTGTTTGTGTATCTCTTTTTAAAAATATTTATCAATTTAAAAGAAAAAAAGCAAGAAAAAAGGAAGAAAATGAGAAAAATGTAAATTAAATAACAGATTTGCGACCAGCACAATTACCTCTGTACAAATCTTCAGAATAATGCTAAGGAAATTTGTTTCATTCAACAGGTAGTCCTTGAGTTACAACCATTTGTGTAGTGACTGTTCAAAGTTACAAGAGCAATTTAAAAAAATGACTTATGACCATTTTTAAGTTACAACCTTTGTAGCATCCCCATGGTCATGTGATTAAAATTCATATGCTTGGCAGATTCTACGTATTTATGACACTTGTATACTCTCCCAGGGTCATTCCATCATTATGTGTAACCTTCCAGGACAGCTTCCGACAAGCAAAGCCGATAGAAGAAGCTAGATTTGCTTAACGACCTCAAGATTCATTCAGCAACTGTAGTGATTCATTGAAGAACTGTGGCAAAAAAAAAACAGTCAGAAAACGAGGCACATCTCACTTAATAAGTGCCTTGCTTAGCAATGGAAATGTTGGCCTCAGTTTTTGTCATAAGTTGAGGACTACTTTAATTATAAAAAATATATATGTAATTCTCCGGTTTTACAAAATATGGAAATATCATCTAATCTGATAATTACATTGACATTCTTTTTTTAAAAAAAGAAAGAAAAGCAAAATAATAGTTTTAGCAATAAATACTGGAATATGTCATTAATAAAAAACTTGATACCATTTTCCTCTAAGTGTGATATTCATGGCAATTTAATATTACTCTTCCATTAAAATTCCCAGCCTTGCTTACCTTGTTCTGCCTTAAGTTCTAAACCCTTTCAAAATCATACACTCAGAAAAAGTCATATGCGTAAAGGACAATAATGATCTCAGTGTATAAGAGTGGGATGATTTGAACACTTTGGTATAATTGTATGTAGTGACCATTTTATATTAGAAAGATCTTTGTATATTAAACAGACCAATGATGATGTAATGAATTGATATACATATGATTTGAAATACTTAATCACTATATAGATTAATAATTAATAATATAAAACTATTCTTGGAACTCTGGATGATTGGTGACATTATGGTCAGTTGAAAATATGAATGTATATTATA